TACACTTCCATAAATAATATATTTTAACTTATGTTATTATAGAAAGGCGCTCAGTATTTCCTGCAGACCATCAAATTCCCCTGCTTTAGAAAATGCTTGCTACTAGCAGAGCTGCAGTTGCAGCAACTAATAAGTGTGTAACAATTGTTCAAGCTAAGAACTACCTCTTCAGCAATTACTAGGTATAATTCTGCTTTCAATTTTACCAGACTAACTTCACTAAACTGATTTCTGTGAAATACCACCAGTTACACCTGTGCAGCTCTCTTTTCAGTTGGTGTGAATGAGATTTTTGGCTAAACATGGAGCACCCTACAAAACCTACCAACATTCCCCATGTTAGGAGTTGGCCTCTTCCCTGCATGAACTTCATTCTGTAACAAACAATGAGCAAGAGCTCCTGGTCTTAGGGCTTAGAAGTTTACTCAGAGTAACATGTTACCTAGCAGTCCATGGTAACTATTCTTGTGTACACTCGGGTTGCAGCAAATGGCAAGTCATTTGAGTTGACTTAGTCAGCAATGAAAAAAAAAAAAGAGGTAAACTGACCTGAAATACTCAGTATTTACTACAGGCTAAGACTGGATGCATGGGGAGTTACAGTGGACTTCTCATGCATGGTAACTTGTTATCTCACAAAAATCCATTTGCCAATGGGAGTTTTAACCACATAAGAAAATAATAATACTGTGAAGATTTAAAAAACAAACAAAAAAAGAGAGCTGATTTTGTCTGTCCAGATCATGCAAACTAAAATAAAAATTAATTCTCCCATTGACTTAAAAAGAAACAGGATGAAGACCCTGATTTGAATAAGGCAAAGAAGATTTAGCTCATAGTCTAAAGCAAGGAAATAAAACCAAAGAGGGAATGAATTATGAAAGATAATTAAAAACAGGTCAAGAAATCTCTTAATACTCTTTTCTGTTAAAATCTTACATTATACAAAAAATGCAGAGCTAATACAGGAAATTATTAAAAGTATACGTAGATTTTTCAAGTTTCTCTTGCAGAAGTGGAGCTATTAAAAAAAAAAAAACACCACAACTGGTAGGCCCTGTTCTACACAACATACACGTTCCCAATTCTTGTAGATAACTCCTGAAAGATGAGGATACTTTTTATTTGTTAAGTAAGAAGAAAGTACACAAGTGTAACTGTGGGCAGATGGGAGTATTTAGTTTTGGATCCAGGTCCTGCAGAACAGGCATTGCTGTTGGAATTGAAGGGCAGAGTCCTTCACTTGGAAACACAGTTAGCACAGTAAGCCAGTTTCAAGATTTCCTCTATAAGTTTTGATGCTTTTCAAGTCACATCAACTGTAACATTTTTGCTTTTTTTTTTTTGAAGTACAAGGGTTGCATATACACTCATTACACCAGCCGTGGCTCTTTTGTTCTTAATGCACTTAAACAAAATCAACTCACATAGTGTAACACTAAATTCCACATTTATGTTCATCTTCCAGAACATATTTAGTAAAATTCATAATTAAAAAATGATAATTTTTTTCTCCAGGACCCAGTTTCTACAGACATAACAAAGAAAAAAAATACTGGAAAACCTGAAACCATTCTGCCTGCTGTGTTCTGCCAGCTCTTTCTAGGCAAATAGAATGAACAAAGTTTACATATGAAAAACTGATTTCCTTGGACAGCCACAGGTATAGATGTTTAAGAAAATTAATATCTGTAATATCATATCTATAATTACATGCGCTGGCTTCAAAGATATGAAGTGTTTAAACTTCTGAGCCCAATTTTGCATTGATACAATCGTGAAGGATTCTGCTATGGAGTTCAATAGACAAAGTATCAATTTCTACACAATTTTTCTGGAGATTCCTTTGCTTACATTGGTTGTGTTTTCAGTCACAAGACAAATTTTCTCTCACAAAATTGTGATATATCAGTCATAGGCCATGAACTTTGAGGATAACATTTTTTGTTCTGTAGTAACCATAACTATGTGACAAAGTAAAGGGAAATATATGAATGTAGACTGGGTTCTGGAGAAACATATTCTATTTGGTTAACATAAAAATAAAGAAAAAGACAGAATAATTAATGTCTAACTAACCTTGCCTATATGCTGAGGTAACCTTAAATATCTTTGGTTTTCTTTATTTGCTGATAATAAGTACCTTAAAACATTAAGTGATGAACAGAGTTCTGTATGGACTGCTCTCTAATACACTGAATATTTTCATCTCTTTGGCTTTGAAGTCAGAGCATCTTCATTAGATTGACAAATTTTATATCAAGTCTCTTTTTCTTGTATTATCCATGGGTTAAACTACAGAGTGGGTCTGTAGAAGAAAAAGTTTAGGATTTAAAGTATTTACCTGTAATGAAGGTCATAAAATTACATCCAGTTATCAGTACTTACAGCAAACAAGTCTTTGGAGAAGCAGTTACCACCTGCATATCAGCTCTTTCTGAATGAAACTAACAAAGGAGGCTACTCTGAAAGATGAAGCGTGAAACTTCATGCTACAGTTACACATTCTTAATCTAGTTTTGATTAATTCACACTTTACCTAACTAGAAGCAGTATTCTGCTGTACACTAAACATTCTGCCTGACAAGACCAAAAATAAATCTTTGGTGAAAAGGTTTTTTCTTCAGCAAGTAGATAAAAAACTGTTCAAAAATATTCTTTTTAATACTGTATTGTTGATCAACTACATGCTGGAGAAAAAAATTATACTTGGAAGTCTTTGGAGATATCTGCTGGTATTATTAAAACTTTCTTTAAAGGCTCTTGTAACAACAAGGTAGTTAAAATTGTAGAAGCATACAACTCATCTATGCAATCAACTACTACAATCAAGAAGCCCTATTGTTTTTTGTTAGTAACTACTTGTACAATAAAATGTATTCAGCTCTTCAAACCTATAGCTTTTAACTAGTTCAATTATTTTTGGACAAGATGTGGCTTCCTTCTCTTCTACAGAAAAGTCTTTGGTACAAGATTAGTTTTAAAGCATTTGAATCAACACTGTTACAAAAAGGTGAATGCATACTGTCTGGTTCAGAACTAGCAAATGGTTACAAGGTAAAGAACTATGGTAACTAGAGGCCGATTCGTCAACACAAAACATACAGAACAGTAGGGCTTATAGATGACTTCTGACCATCTTTTGATATGTGAGGAACAATACAAAACTCAGCCTGGCCTACCTTAAGGGTGACATCTTGGCCCCAGTAAAGTCCATGAGAGTTCTGACAGACTTAAATAGAGCCAGGAGTTCCTATGGTTGCTTTCTCACAACATTACATGTTAAACTTTTTCTTTTTTTTAAAGTAAAAACATATGCTTTTTTTTTCTTTCCTTTTTTTTTTTTTTTTTTTTTTTTTTTTTTTTTTTAAAAAAAAACAGGAGAAGTGAAGCTACCCAGAATGAGCAGCTGGAAAGAGGAGGAGTGGAGAAGAGGACTGGATATAGATACAGGCAAGTTTACACCATTGGATGATTCCAACCTCCTCCCTCCCTCTCCCTCTCTCCTATTAAAAAACAAAACATGATACCCTGTCGGTTTGCTTCACATTTCCGTGAGGCAGTTCAAAAGTAACAATCTGTTCCCTGAGTACAGGAAAAAACAACAACAAAAAAACCCCAAAAAACACTAGAATAACTTTTAAAGGAGGTAGTATAAAACAGGAATTGCATGGGTTCAAGGCAGTAGCAGTACTCACCTCTTTCAACAGACTCTTCAACTAAAGCTCTGGCTTTTTTATTTCTCACGGTAGCCTAATCAGAGTTTTAGATTGACATGTGGGTAAAGTCACTCCCTGAGCTAAAATTCCTGGCTAACAGCACACTAGGCGAAGGCAAGGAGCAGGGTTGCATCCTAACAACAGCTCTGAGACATACTACGATGCCTGCAGTGCTTATCAGCACTCAAAGCTAGGTAAAAATGAACTATAAACCACGATACAGTTTACTTAAAACATCTAAGAAGTGTTTAAGGCATCTTTCTGTACTCCAAAGCAACTTTATGAATACTAAAAAGGCATAAGGCAAATCAGTAATTTCATAATATATAATGCAAGGCACCATTGCTAAGAAGTACTGCGATACTGGAATACTCAGCGTTAGTAGCTATTCCATGACTCAGGCAGAGCCAAACTGTTTGGAAATGCTGAATACTTCTTCATTTTGCCATGCTTTTTAGCATTAACTGTCAATAAAAGGGCAACATTTGTCGCTGTGGGGAACCCAACATGTCCCAGAGCCTTAAGGATATAGCATACATCCTGTCAGCAGTTGCTGACACAAGTTTCTGGGGGAAAGGCACTGTCCTAGGCTTACTGGGGTTATGAGAAATCAAGAGGTACAAAAGATTTCATGTGGCTGTATACGTGGAAGCACCAACTCCACTCTTCCCAGTTTTTAACGTCCTCTATGTCAACCACATTAAATCATTACATTTTATTCTCTGAGTTTTCCTTCTTTTTAAAGACAGAGCTTCAGCTAAACAATCTTGTTCACCTACCTATACAACTCCCTGATCACTGAGCGCACACACATGCGTGTGCACACACACACACACACACACACATTATACACACAACTGAAAACAAGCAAAAAAAGAATCCCAAAATAAAACAACACTAGGAAGTATCATCAGTTCCATAGCTTAGACCAAATAGAACACAAATGAGGTAAAGAAGTCGTCATTCAGAGTTCACCTCTCGGCAAACTGAGGTAGATAGTCAGCAAAAGGGCTAACAGCCTTCCCTTTGCTCCAGTGACATATTTTTAACTTTAGTCAGAAATCTTCACTGTCCTTTCACATTTGTTGACCACTGAACATTCAAAATGAGTGAGTTTTCAAAACAAACAAAACAAAAAATAAAGAAAAAAAAAACATTCAACAGAAATATGGGATCACCTGCTAGGTTAGTCAGGCTTTCCACAATAAAACTTTGGCTCCCTGTTCATTGTCCTTCGAACAGACATATACGGCAAGAATGTCTGGTGTGGCCCTAAGGATGTCAGTTTTGCACTGCGCTGTGTATCTGGAGAGGCGAGGTAGGAGTCTGGTCAGCAGCAAATGGCAGAGGAGACCCTGTGCAGTTACTTATGGCAGGGCTCATCATGTTCGTACCCAAGTCACTGCTTACGAAAGGACTGGTAGTGGAAGGGGTGGGACTTGTCACAGAGGAGAGGTGTATCTCATCGTTGGACTCGTGAGAAAACCTTCCAGAGTCACCAGTCTCGTGGCTTCCTTCGCTGTTGGCCGAATGCTCCGTATCGACAACAATACTGAATGGCACCTGGAAATTAGACTGCTGGCCAGGCGAGCTGGGGGAGTCATCGTCGCTGATCAGCACAGTGGTGCCTGGCTGATACAGACACACCGCCTGGACAAATCTTCTCTGAGGCTACATAAAAAGCAGAGAGAAAAAGGTTGTTCGGCCTCTGAAAAGCTAAGCCATGATTTGAAATTTTGCTGCATTTCCTATATCCTATTCCACCAGAGTGCCTCTAAAAGCATTGGCTCAGGACAATCCGGGCTTTCCTACAGGAGGTTAAAAAGAATCAATCTCAAGTCTTGCTCGTATTTTTCTCTTCCATAATAGATGAGATAATCCCTTCCAACTAAGCATAGCTAATCAGGAGTGATTTCACTGGAGAGACCTAAATGGTATTTTAAAAACATACTTGATGGAGATCTCTCCTTTCCCTTCATACATATTCTTTAAGCATCCCTCCTTGGGTGGTAGCAAATATTTTGCTTATAGAGGCACCAGAAATATGCAGCTGCTTCTGGAAACATTTTGGAATACAAATTTACAACATGGATATCAAGACTTCCTCTTCCTTAAACATACAAGAGCACAATACAAGTTACAATTCAATAAACGTTAGTTAGATGCCCCTACGTGTGAGTTTGCATGATAACGTTCAGGATTTGATTTAACACTTCAGTCTTTAACTATTACTTTTTCTCATCCAAATAGCCAGTGTGTCCAGAGCAACAATTTCAGAAGCCATACAGTTCTACTCAGATTCTCAATTTCTTCAGTACTTCGGGTAAATAATTTAATTTCCTTCTTTTCGTTTGTCTTCAGCAAACAAAGTTTTAGCTGTCAGGGTAGGAGGGGATTCTTTATGTTTTTATATTATTTTTATTTATAAATACATATTTAATATGTATTTATATTTATACAAAGTCTCTGCAGATGTAGTACTGGAGATGCTATGCATAGACCCAGTACACAGAAATCCTTTTGCTCACAGATAAAAGGGCACAGGCAAGAAAGCGATCAGTTAACTGTAAAGATTTACAACATCTGACAACTTGGGACAGAAAATGAAACTTCTGTAAGACTTTACTATGAGGTAGAACACCACCAACCTTAGCACAATTGAAATTACCCAATTAAAACTTAGACCACTAATCATGCTTCTCCATAAATAGAAACCTACATATCTTGCTTTGCAAATACAGGGTATTACAGTAAAGATTGTGCATCTCTGCCCATTAGACCAATTACCTCCTCAGTCTTCACCTTTTTGGTATCTTGGAAGAACAGCCACCTTTTCTTGCAGTTAGTCTTTGTGACAGGCCCATAGCTGTTAATAATCAGATCAGATCCCCCCTACAATAGAGGGAGACACACAGACATTTGTTTTAACCAACTAAGCTATTTCAAAATATTTTTCTATTCCTACCCATTGGCTCCCTACTGAAAAAGAAGACAAACGAAGTCTTAGCGCTCAAGTCACGTTTTTGTGGTCTGGTATTCATCTATTGCTCCAGACAAGCCAAGACCAGATCCACTAAATCCGGCAAGCCCCAAGGCCAGACCCAACAGCTATAGCACTGCGAACACAGAGCAAAATATTCAGCCACTGCTCTTGCTCTACTACTCTGAATGTGACCATTCATAGATGTAGTGTCTGTGCCTGTACTGGGGTCCATATCCATTTCCCAGCTCTTGCATATATCCTCAGGGAACGGCTCCATTCAAGTTTGCAGCGTGTACAGAACAAGCCTTAAATCAGTAATTTTCACCTGTGAAAATAAGGCCAATGTGGTTTTGTCACACTGGACTCCTGGACTGTAAGATTCTATACATCCACTGATACATCCTGCCATCTCGATCAATGTATCATTTGACCAAATATGACTTTATAAAATGTAACATTCTCTTACCAGTAAATATACAGAAAAATAATATTTTCCTTAATACCTGCTCACAAGTGTCACACTTGACTAGATGGTGCACATGCACTTACTGAACCAGGTGCTGCCAAGGACTCTCTCACCTCTCTCCTTGGACTAGCAGCAGCCACCTAGCAGCCCTAAGTCTATGGAGCTTTTATCCTTTGATGCTGTGCCAGAGCCAAACTCTGCAATCTGTGGAGTACAGTGTAAGACAAGTGTATTGAATCAGATCTCTAGCTGAACTTTAAGATGAGTCTTGAATATTTGATCCTGGATTGCCAAACTTGTGTTCATCCCATTAAAAAAATCTGCTATGGATTTGTAGTGTACATACTTTACGTTTGATAAGGACTCAGATGTTATAGCAATGGATTCTAAAGAAAGATTTCTGGTTTGGGAGCGAGTAAAGCTCACAGTACCTTAGCGTCGATGAAGCTGTTTCCCACTATCATTGGCAATAAGGATTCTTCATTCTCTGCAATTCCTTCAATACTCTTCTCCACCTCATTAGCACTGGCTAATGAGATGCTGGTATGTGACAGCTGGTCAGTGCTTTGCTGCACAGGTTTAGGAGCAGATGTTTTCCTACACAATGTGAAGCAGAAATAAAATTGACCCACAGGAAGAAAATACAAAAAAGAAAAATAAATCAAGGATAAACTTTAAAGCTATTATTAATCAAGTAATATTGGTATATTCTTGGCAATTACATTTTGTTATATGATACTCCTAACTCTCATGGAATTTAAATGTTATTGCTTGTGATAAAAATAACATCTGCTTCCAGTTAATCATACACAGTAGGCTACAAGCTTATGCGCAGACAGAAATTGTCATGATTAGTAATATTACTTGGAGGAAGTAACCACTAATGATATTAAGACCTTTCTATCATGCTACACAGAGACTGTCTCCCAATCTGTATTTTTTCCTGCATGTACGCTAAAAAGCCCTTGTTACTAAAATATGCTTTTAGACAGTTTTAAAATTTATTATTTCAAGTAACTTATATTTGTTCTGATCCCAAAGTTATGGGCAGAGTCACTGGGCCAGTTTATGTCCCATAGCAAGTTGATGACAAGACAGGCAGATGGTGGCTTGCACACCACTGCAAAGAAACTGCATCATAGAACTGCTTTATGTCAGGGTTCCTCTTGTCCAGCAACACCAGAGGGTTAAAGCCTTGCAAACCAGGTCAGGGCAGGCCGGAGGGTTAAGCAGGAATAGCAGATGATGTAAAGCAGCATGCTTATCTGACTCAAAAGGGGTTTTTTTTGTTTGGAAACGTGCCTCATACTTAGTTGTTGAAGCACCACTGACTCACTCTGTGGGGTCTTCTTTACACTGGAAAAGGCACTCAGGTAGAGTAGGAAAAGCCAACAAAGTGCTTTGTTTCCACTTGTGGTAGGAACAGGTGAAGAGACAGAGTACTTCAGAGAACTTACACTCTTGGAGAAGAGGGCATGTCCCAAGAATTAGCGCATTGAGAAAGAGCTCAGTCTTCAAGAACAAAAACATACCTGGCTTTACTGCGATAAATTAAGATCAGGATGCAGATAAGGATGCAGGTCAAGGCTATGCAAACCCCAACAACAATGCCAGTCATTGATTTCTGGTCCAGATGGTAATAGTCAGAATATGCTATAGCAAAAAAGAACATAGAAAGGCTCAATAAATAGGAAGAGTTACCCCCTGCTCCCTGTCAGGAAATTAATAGGGTTACAGGCACACCCACACAAATGCTTCCTTTTAATGAGATTTCCAGACCTTCCTTGTCATACATTTTGACACTTTTGAAAATAAAATTTGTGGATCAGAGAAGTGTATGCAGTCCTGGTGTGGGAGGGGAAGAAGGGAATGTCTCTTTGGTGACCTACAACATGGAGCAGAGGAGCTCTCTCCAACCCCTCCCTTACAGAGTGATACTAGACAACAAAGAGAAAAGGCTTGGAGAATTCCAGTCACTGTCACCTGGGAGAGTTTACTTTGGTTTATGCTTTGACATCATGTGTCTATTAACCTAATCCTGAGGGCATGACTCTATTTGCTTATTTAGGCCTAAAATATAACTGAATTCCAGGAAGGGAGAAAACCTGAGCAAGAAAAATCCTTGTGTTTTAATCACAATTCAATGTGCAGCAACAAGGAAATGTTAAAACGTTCATGTACCTGAACTAGCTCTTGTCTCCCCAGATAGCTTTAAAATCTGCAACAAGTCACCAAGATAAATCCTCTTCTGTGCCAAAGGCAATGAGTTCTTCCATTCTTATATGGAGAAACCACTGGTGTAACCTTAACTTCCACATGGTAACACATAGTTTTCCCCAAAAGCTGCAGGTGGGGCTGACTTCTTTGGTGAAAATATATGCTGGTATATCACTGACTGACAGGTTAATTTGGGTTGCTGGAATACCAGGAACCAGCAAATTTAAACAGGTTTATCTGAGATGCCAATCTCATCTCTGCTGGGCTGTCTGGTTCTAACTGACCCAGTGCTACTGGTATCTCAAGCCAAATAAAGGACTTAAAGGAAGTGCTTTAAAAGAGTGGCTGCAAAGTTGACATTCATGTAAAATTCAAAACAGTTACGTATTCTCATTTGAAAGGCAAACTTCCAACTTCTGAGCAAAAGGATTAAACCAGTTCCAAGTTGAACTGAGATAAAAATTCAAAAATGGTTTCATTTAGAAGAAAACGCTACACTGTTAGGACTGCCTCACATAAACCAGAATAGTTTACCCAGAAAGCAGTTACAAGCTAAAATAATCAGGGATCTTTTTTTCTGGTACTTGTGACAGCAGTAATCACAACATTGCTACTGACTTGTGGAATCTCCTGAATCCAAGCGTTTAGGTCTCTGATTAGACTCTGAGGTCTCCTTTGGCAGGACAGCAAGTTCTACCGCATTCGAGAAGGGTCCTTCTCCCACTTCATTGGAGGCTGCTATTTTGACCAAGTAGACATTTCCTGCTACAAGGTTTTCCAGCAAAGCCATGGTCATTGCTCCTGTGAAAGATTTGATAAACAGTTCCAGTTAGACAAAACCTGTGGGAACAGACTGAGATTTAGACATTGGGACCTACACTTCCTTTCAATATCACCTCCAAATCTTATTTGAGGACTGTGATCACTTTCATACATTTTAACCTGCATATACTGGGTACAGAATGAACACTGGGGTTGTCTGCTTGTCCTTTCTGTCCACACTGCTTGAACACAGCACAGCATGAAGTGCCAGAATAGTTCAAAACCGAGAGTCAAACATTGGCTACAATACACAGCATACTGATCCTAAATCTAGGGCTAGCCACATTTCAGTGTGATCGTGTTTATGTTGTGATTGTATCTGTAAGGAGATGCTCCAAGCATTAACCAGATTTTTAGGCAGAGAAAGCAGAATGTTAGACTTCTCTCTTATACTAATCTATGTGTCTCTCCTAGATCCACTGTACCATGAACATGAATGAAAATTGTCGTAACAAAATAAGCCAGGTTCAGTTTATCAAATTTCAGGTCTAGCTAGTAAAATGAACAGGACAGATTTGGAAGAGTACATTATACCACACTTTTAAAATAAAATTAAACCCTGCGTAGGCTTCCTTGATTACTGTGCATCTAAGCTGTGCTCCCAAAAATAATACAGAAAACATCTCTCTCACATGCTAAGGATTAATTTCCTAAAGTCCCTGAAGGCAGGAAAAACAGATTAAGAACATAAGTAGGATTCACTTGCATTGTCCTTAGACAGGCAAAACTCCTATCAAAGTCAATGAGAGCTTTGCCTGTCCAGGGACTGCAGACTGCTGCTTAAAATTCCAATTACTTTCTAAAATGCC